AAAGCCCCTAGGCAAACAAAAGCATTGCTATCTAGCAGGATATCCAGGAGCCTGGAGATCTCTGCTGAGTAGCTCAGGGCAAAGGCCAGGCTCCTTTGATGCTATCAGCCTTTCCTCCTGCTTTCCGGTCCTCCCCAGCCAGCCTTGTGTCTCTCTAGTTTGGAAAGGGCTCAGGAGATATCTGAGATAACCTATGTCAAGCTAAGCAGATCTTACCCAGTGAAAGATTCACCATGGAACCACTGCTGTGCTAGCAAATTGTGTGCCTTTGTCCTGTTGCTGCGGAGGGACAGCATCTTGATAAAAAAAAGTCCTTTGTGGCACACAGGGAAACGTCTACAATCTAATTATATTTATTTCTCTTTTTCTTCTGTGGTGCTAGGGATCAAACCCCATATATTTATGGTGTTGAGCAAGTATTCTATCACTGAGCTCCAATCCCAAATCTGCAGCCTTCATACACACACACACACACATATGTATATATACACTTTATTTTTTATGTGTATGAGTGTTTTGTTGTATGTATGTGCACCATGTGCATGCAGTGCCCATAGAAGCCAGAAGAGGGCACCAGATTCCCTGGAACTGTAGCTGTAGCCTTTTGTGACCCACCATGTGGATGGTGGGAATTGAACCCTGGTTCCTCTTCAAGAGCAGCCAGTGCTCTTAACCCCTGACCTGTTTCTCCAGTTCTTGCCACCTACTTTAAATGTTCTTTTACAAAAATGAAGAATGGTGGCATCCTCATTCAGTCAGTCCGTTGAACATTCTACCTTTTCTTCATCCTCTGCTTCTCGTTCTTAGGCCTTTTGGTGCCAAGGAGCATGTCTTTTCCTATACGTCCCCCGCCAGTCCTGAAAGACATTCTGCAAACATGAGTTCCTGGTTCACCTGCTCATGGACACAGCTGTGTTTACTTTCTCCAGATAAGTGCTGATGTGGATGCTTCTGGTTGCAGGCCTGTCTGCTTTCTGGTAAACACACTTCGTTTTAAAGATTTACTCTGTGTACAAAGATGACCCCTTTTAATCCTTGTACTGTGAGAAATGTACTCTAACCCTATGAACAGATAAAGAAATCGAGGTGCAGAGGACAACTTCCCCCACCTTTCTAACCCCGAGGTGGTCCAGCAGGAACCAAACCAGACCTGCTGGATTCCAGAGCTCCAAGCCCTCACTGCTCTGGGTTGGATGGAGCAGTCTAGTGAGATCAATGTGGTTGATAGGGAGTTTCCAGAAGAGAGCTGACATTGAAATTATGCGCTTATAGTTGGCAATGAGCTTGTAAAATTAAAGTGCACTAAAAGGAGGGGAAAAAACCAAACCATTGATCCTGCTTTTTTGAGGTACTACAACACTACTGTCAATCCACAGACTGAAGAAGGTTAGTGTTAAAGGTTAGTTTAAATTTACCTCCAGGTAAAATGCAAGCTGGGTCATTTTGGCATGGATTTTTCCATCTCCTCAGAGGAGTGCTGGGTTTACAGATGTACATCACCACATCTGGCTTTATTTGGGTTCTGGGGATCAAACTCAGGTTCTCAAGTTTGCTCAGCAGGCACGTTACGGGCCATCTCCCCAGCCCCCAACAGCAAATCTTTCCTGCAATTCAATTTTTTAGGAGATTCATTTATTTTTATTTTATGTGTATGAGTGGTCCGACTAAATGCATGCATATGTACATCATATGTGCCTGGTCTCTGAGGCGCCTGAGGAAGATCTAGGATCCTCTGGAACTGGAGTTACAGACAGTCGTGAGTTTGAGCCCTGTGGGTGCTGGGAACGGAACCTCCTGCACATACGTGGTCAGAGGACAACTTTTGGGGGTAGGCTGTCTCTGCCTTGGGTTCTGGGAATTAAGCTCAAGCTGATAGGCTTGCATGACAAGCATCTTTACCCACGGAGGCATCTTTGCAGCCTTTTATTAATTTTTCAGCAACTGTCTGAACCAAGCACTATTGCTAGGTGCCAGGGTAGACGGATATAAAGGACTGTTCTTATAGCACTCAGAGGTACTTGTTGGGGTCCAGTTTTAGGCATGACATCAGCAGAGCAGGCCGCACAACATTCCACGTGCCCTTTTTCCCAACGCTGAAACACTTCATGGATTTTGACCTTTAGGGGAGTCGCTGGGGACTGAAGCCAAGGGCCTTTTGTGTGCTGGGCAAGTACCCTACCATTGGGTTTCATACCCAATCCTTGTTTGTTGTCATGTCTGGAGAAGTAGGCCATTTGATTCAGTAACAATATATAATCTGTTCTGCAAAAACAATATTGAATTCTGTTCATTGAGGAAATAGGCATTAAATTCTAGACAGTTCAACAGAAAAACCGCTTCAACAGAAATATTTATATTGATGCAGGGATATAGCTCAGTTGATAAAGCGCTTGCCTAGCGTGCATGAATCCTTGGTTCGATTCCCAGTCCAACATAAGACTAGGTATGGTGGCATGCCTCAGAAATTCCAGAATCCAGGGATAGAAGCAAGATGAGCAGGTGTGCAAGGTCATCCTCAATTCAAGGTCGTCTTGGTTGCACGGGACTTTGCCTCTATTCCTTCTCCCAAATAGTACTAAACAAATAAGAATGCTTGCATATGAGTGTATTTTCACTTCTGTAGTCCCTATTGGGGGCAATACTCTCAGAACTCTGGAGGTGGAGGCAGGGGGATCAGGAGTTCAAAGCCAGTCTCAGCTGCATAGCAAGTTTGAGGCCAGCCTGGGCTACATAAGACTCTGTCCTAAAAAGAAAAAAAAAATGGTAATAATGCTTAATTATACTTAGAATTCTTTTAATGTGGACTGTTTCCAGCAAACGGCATCTCATTTTGTGAAACGGCCTCTGAGATTCTAACTGCTATGATGTTACTGAAAATAGGCCCGTGGTGATAACAACAGTGAGCAGGTGTAAAGTGCCAGGCACTGTCTTCAAGGCCCTCTGTGTTATCTCACTCCTTGCTCATCATAATCACTTGATGTGGATATTATTTTTGTTCCTATATCACAAATGAGGAATCTAAGGTCGCAGAGTGAGTCAGTGGGAAGTCTAGGACTCCCACCCGAGTCTATTTCAGACAGGAGCCTGTGCTTTTAAAGTCTGGGCCATAGTTCCTCTATAATTGGGAAATGAAGTCTGGGCAAGGTCATTTATTTATTTATGTTCTTGCCTTGTTCCAGAAAGCATTTCAGACATCTGGGTAAGTCACTTGCCCAAGATCGCCCAGACAGTTAGGGGCAGAGCCAGGAATCTCTCTCACACACACAAACTGTACAAACAGGGAGGTAAGGCAGAGGCAGACTTCTGTTACATATTTCTTCACAAACATGGGAAAGGGAAACAGGGTCATTTTCTTTGGCTGCTTTCCTGTTCATTGTGTTTTATAGTCTGAGAACAGACTGAATAGGATAAGAGGAATAAGGAGCAGTGGGACCAGGCCAGCAAGGACGTAGACTGCTGGGGGGTGGTGGGGGGGGGGGGGAGATGAGAGGAAGGGCCCAGGAGTTGCCTCAGCAGTGTGCTCAGACATCAGCGCTGCTTAGCAAATCAACAGTTCAGGAGTAAGCCTAAGAAAGAGAGGAGGGGGATTCACAGAGCAGCAGCTAGGAAGCTGGTGTCACAGGAAGAAGGGAAGGAACCGGACACACAGCTTGCTGTCCAGGGAAGATAAGAATGGCAGGCTGTAGTTGAGGTAGAGTTGACCACACACACACATGCGTGTGCGCACACACACACACACACACACACACACACACACACACACACACACACACACATCACACACACCATACACACCACACACACATATACACACCATACACACCACACACACCACACACACACACCATATACACTACACACACACACATACACACACACACCATTGTGCGCATGCACACAAACAAGTAATAATGGGTTTGAGAGCACAAAAAAGCAAAGCATGAAAGACAAAGACTACCAGACATCCATTTCTTTAAAAGAGAAAACAAAACATCATCAACTATCTTCAGGACAGTCCCCTCTGCTCAGCTATTAAGCTTGGTCAAGTCTCTGTCTCTCCTCTTGGTTCAGTAACACCGTCTCTCTTAAAACACCCCTCACCCATTTTCCTTTGTCCTAAGAACTCCTTCCAGACAGAGTTTGTATAAAGAACCGTCTTTTCTTGGCAATAAATTGAAAAATAAACAAATGAAACATACACTTGTATGTGTGGCTTTTTTTTTTTAATGGAACATTTCATTTGCTTTCAGTTTGAATTATTATAAAAACATTTCAGTACTTGTCCCTGAACATTTTTTTTTAAATGAAAGGAATCTGTCCCGATTTAGTATCCTTAACCAAACATGCTTTAGTAGGGTGGGATGGGGCAAGGACTGGCTGTAAAGAAAACCCAGCCCCTGACAGCAGCCTTTACCCCGGGGAGTTGACCCAAAGCTGCCCAGGCCAGGTGTGTCTTAGGAAGTTCTCCTTAGGAAGTATGCTGTTTACCTGAACGTGGCCTGGGCCCCTCTGTCTTGAGGGAAGCAGAAGGCTTGGGCTGAGAGGTTGGAACAGGAAGAGGAAATGGTTGCCATGTGCCTCGAGTTTTCCAAAGGAGCTCAGGGTGCATATCACCCCCTCTCCTTGGACCAGTATGCAACTCCTGTTGAGCAATATTTACCTCCTTAGAATGGACGGATGCTTATGAACCTCCCATGACACGAATTTGTCTGTTTTTTTTCTAAGTTGTTCTTTTCTGGACATTCCTCTCCCACACATCTACTTAAAACAAAATCAAACAAAAAACCTCCCAGCTGCCGGGCGGTGGTGGCGCACGCCTTTAATTCCAGCACTCTGGAGGCAGAGCCAGTCGGATCTCTGTGAGTTCGAGGCCAGCCTGGTCTCCAAAGCGAGTTCCAGGAAAGGCGCAAAGCTACACAGAGAAACCCTGTCTCGAAAAAACCAAAAAAAATAAAAAATAAAAAAAAAAAATAAAAAAAAAAAAAAAAACTTCCCAGCACTCGGGCGGCAGAGGCAAGTGGTTCTTTGTGAGTTCAAGGCCTGCCTGGTCTACAGAGCAAGTTCCAGAACACCTAGGACTGTTACACAGAGAAACCCTGTCTTGAAAACAAACAAACTAAACCATGTAAATAAATTTTAAAAGGCTACTCAATCCAGGTTTTTTGGACAGAATCCTATGGTGTATTGATCACTGTGGCTTCGCTTTGGCCAGGAGCCGTGAACCAAGAGTTCTTTATAAATGAGTCCTGAATCCAGGACAAAGCAAACTGCCAGCACTTTGAGCTCATAGCTATTCTCTGAAGAGGGGGCCTAGTGTGTGTGTGTGTGTGTGTGTGTGTGTGTGTATCTTTAAAAAATATTTATTTTTTATTTTTTACCTATCTAGTGTTTTGCCCATATGCATTTATATGCACACATGTGTGCCTGGTGCCAGGGTCCAGAAGAGGGTGTCAGAGCCATGGGAACTGGAATTATTGACGGTTGTAAGCCACCATGTGGGTTATTATAAAGTTATTAAAATATTATTGTGACTAAAAGCCTGGCCTGAATTGAGTGTAATCCCTCATTGGCAACTTGGTAAAGCCTAATTTTCAGCAGGAACAAGCTTGACATGAAGGCAGTAAGGGCACAAATAGATTAGACTTAAACGCCCCATAAAATGACTCGAGGCTTACAGCTGGGCCCTGCCGTTCTTCTGAAGAATTATGACTGATTAGCAGTTCTAAGAAACTCTGAAAGAAAAGTGAGTCATTCCATGAAGGCATTTGTCTGAAGGAAGTGAGCTGGAATGCAATGGTGGCAGTGAGTTATTATAAAGCAGCTAATTCCATGAAGAGTCATTTGGTATTTATAACGGCGTCATTGTCGATTGAATTAGTAAAGAATAGAAGTGACTCAATGGTCTGTGATGAGCAGAGAATGACAAAGGGGAGACAGTAACGGAGGATTTGGTGGTGAAGAGAGAAGAAAAGCAGGAGAAAAGAAAAAGCCATAATTGCATTTGTTTATAAATTCACTCACTGCCAGCCGTGGAGGCTGTGATTCCAGCCCACTGCAGGCTGAAGCAGGAGGATAACTATGACCTCAAAGTCATCCTGAGCTACATAGTGATTCCAGGTAAGCCCCTCAAATGCTGCATAGTGAGACCCTGTCTCAAAAGATTTTTTTGTTTTTGTTTCTTGAGACAGGGTTTCTCTGTGTAGCCCTGGCTGTCCTGGAACTCACTCTGTAGAGCAGGCTGGCCTTGAACTCAGAATTCAGGGATCCGCCTCTCTCTGCCTCCCGAGTGCTGGTGTTAAAAGCATGTGCCACCACTGCCCAACAGAATTTCTTATTATTGTTATTACATTTTTTTTTTTTTTTTTTTTTTTTTTTTGGTTTTTCGAGACAGGGTTTCTCTGTGTAGCTTTGCGCCTTTCCTGGAACTCACTTGGTAGCCCAGGCTGGCCTCGAACTCACAGAGATCCGCCTGCCTCTGCCTCCCAAGTGCTGGGATTAAAGGCGTGCGCCACCACCGCCCGGCCAATGTTATTACATTTTTTGATGGGTGACCCATCCTTGAAGGACATGTGTTTATGATATTCTCAAAAGCCACAAACCAAGACTGTCTCCATTGTTCCTTGGCTACACATCCCAGTCCATTTAAACTGGAAACCACAGTCTTTTTCTGTTGTTTACACTCTATGACGGAACCCACGCCATGCTACCTATGGAGGACAATGGAGGTTTGTAAGTGTCAGAAGCGTATGTGAGTAATCAGACCCCATTATATAACATACTGTGCCAAGAATGCTCTTTTTTCTTCACACATGGTGTGTTAGTGAAGAAACAGAACCTGAACAGTAAAGTCTGTCAGTGAGACTTTTAGCGTAGAAATGGTGCCTGCCCCAGGGTGAAAATTAACCGACGCTTTGCCATAACCTGTTGACTTTTAATTGAATTCCAGCTTATTTTACAACTGCTAATCTATGAGCTAAATTGCATTTTGAGTCTACACATTTATGACTGGAATGAGTTTAATGGGGAATTAGCCCTTGGAAAATGTACCTTGCTAGAACAAAAGCTTCAGTTCCAAGATATATACCCTCTGATTGTTTTATTGCACCCAAAACAAAAGGCATTGAAATCTGGCAATAGTGGAAGACATCTACTTTAATTAAAACCACAAATATTTTAAAATAAAGTGTGTTCCATAATTGTTTCCTAATAGCCCGGCATCTGGAAATGTGTTTACAACATCACCGACACAGTGGACAATATTTCATTTTTCAGGACAAGAAAGAGGATGTAGTAAATGCCTAATTGCTTAGGCTACTTTGTTCAGAAGTTACATTTTCCCTTTCCTCCCCTCTTTCTTCCTTGTCTTGTTGTTGTTGTTGTTGTTGGGGGGATGAGCTTGCTATGTAGCTCAGGCTAGATTTGAACTTGTAGTGATCCCCCTGCTTCAGCCTTCCCAGTGCTGGGATTACAGGCACAAGCCAGTATACTTGGTTATAGCATATATTTTTAAATTTTGCTATCGTTATTATTGTTGTTACTACTGTCCTTTTGTGTGTGTGGATATAGGAGGGGGCGTGCATTACACAGCGCACATGTGGAGGTCAAAGGGCAACTCTGTAGCATTGGTTCTCTCCTTCCACCTTTCTGTGGGTTCCAGGAATCAAACTCGGGTCACCAGACTTTTCAAAGCATGAACATTTACTCTCTGAGTCATTGTGCTCACTAATAAAAGATTTAATATTTTAATAAAATGATTTTAAAATTATATTCAATAAAAATTAAAAATAAAATATTTATTTTCAAGGCGCAAAGCTACACAGAGAAACCCTGTCTCGAAAAACCAAAAAAAAAAAAATATATTTATTTTCTTTTTTACATGTGTGTCTAAGTGTATGTCTGTGCCCAGGGAGGTTAGAAGAGGATGTGGATCCCCCGAGAGGGTTGTGAGCTACCATGTGGGTACTGGGAACAAAACCCAGGTCCTATGCAAGAGCAGTAAGTGATCCCTATAGTACATTTTCCTTTTGGCAGGAGTGGACAGGGTCACACTGCGTAGCCCTGGCTGTTCTAGAACTTACTATGTAGACTAGGCTGGCCTTGAACTCACAGAGATCCACCTGCCTCTGCCTCCGTAATGCTGAGATTAAAGGTGTTTGACACCATACCAGTCCCTACAGTATTTTTATACCTCCTATTCCCCAGAGAATGTCTGCTTTGAATTTTCACTTTTCCCCTCTTGGAGATTGTCGCTGGAAGAGTACACGTGGGAATTATGTTTGCCTAAAAATCTAAAAATGTTTTCTGCATGACCCTTGAATGCTCTGATATGAATTATATTTTATTTATCTTTTGGGAGTGGGGCAGCGTGTAAGGAAGGTCTCCCTGGCAGCCCAGGCTTAAACTCATGATCTTCCTGCCTCAGCCTCCCAAGGACCAAGATTGCAGCTCTAGACTTGACCATTGAATTGTTTTTAAGGTTTATTGTTAACTATGTGCATACGTGTGTGAGTAGAGAGCATATGTAAGTAGAGCTGCCTGTGGGGTCCAGAAGAGGGTTCTGAGCCCCCTGAAGTTCAAGTTACAGAGGGTGGTGAGCTGCCGGACATGGGTGCTGAGAGCAGATTTAGGGTCCTCTTCAAGACCAGTATGTGCTCTTAACTGCTGGGCTGTCTCTCCAGCCCTGCGATCTTTTGAATTTTAAAGATCAAAAGAAAAGTAAGCAATAAATACTACTTTCTAAGAAAATAATTTCTTAAAGGAAATATTCTTTTTTTTTTTTTTTTTTTTTTTTTTTTTTTTTTTTTTTTTTTGAGGCAGGGTCTTACTATGTAGCTCAGGCTGGCCTTGACCATAACGATCCCTCTGTCTCAGCCTCCCAAGTGTTGGGATTACATGTGTGTGCCACTTTGCTTGGCCTGAACACTGATTTTATTAAAGGCCGAAAGAGGAGGCTGTCTAATTGACTTACTTTGATTGAGAACTGCATGAAACCATAAAGATGGAAATATGGGGGCTGGGGAGATGCTCAGTGGGTCCAGTACTTGCTGTACGAGCATGAGGATTTGAGCATCCACAAAAAAGCCTGCTGTGTGGTGCCATGTGCCAGGAACCCCAGTGCTGGAGTGACGGGGATAGGGACGTTTCAGGGGCTCACGAGCCAGCCAAGTTAGCTACTCTCTGGGCTCCAGCTTCAGTGAGAGGCCCTGTCTCAAAATTTAAGATGGAGAGCGATAGAAAAAGACACCCAATGTTGATCTCCGGCCTTCACAGGCTCACGCAGTTTCATGTATCTGCACCCATTCACTCACTCACACACACACACACACACACACACACACACACACACACACACACACACAAACACGCATGCACGCACTAAAAAAAAAATACATCTCCCCACAGCTTCACCCCCACACACATTTAAAAATAAATAAATAAAGGAAATATGTTTATGTAACTCATTTGGAATCTAACCAAGCCAGAGAAAACATGAACCTTCCCTGGGTCTGTTCATGTAGTTTCGTAATATAAGGAAAGGAAAAGAGACCTGGCGGTAATGCTCTTTCCTTGAAATAGTTTTTCTCCTAGGAAGTACAGCTAAGAACCCCTGGCCTGCTCACCCACGTGAACCAGGCTGCCGGCCTCTGCAACTGCCGTCTGGGGCTGGATTTGGCGAAACGGTGGACAAATCGCAGAGACATTGACTGCTTCCTTCATTCACCTGCAAACAGGAGTCAGGATGCGCCAAGCTCTAGCTGTGGTCCATCCAAGTGCTGAATAGGATAAACAAAACATAGAAGGGTAAACCGAACTGCCAGGCCTCTCTGCGGCAATATGTTAACGTAGCTCTAGCCTCCTTCCTTTTCAACTCGTTTTTCCACTGACATTCGTATTTTTAGACACTTTCTTTCATAATGAAGGTTGAATGTGATTTTTTTTTTTAGAAAAAGATTAATTTTAGAAAAGCCACTGTGTGTAGGTTCCGATTAAAAATGTTCTTTTCTGTTGCTTCAGGCAAATTGTCCAATGGCACCAAGTCAGAGTACAGGGGAGGTCAAGCCTCATCAACGCCTTGTTCAAGCCACTGCTGATCATCCGGGTTAGTACAATACTTGTTGGCTTTGAGATCGTGTGGGTCTGCATTTTACTTTAAAGGGTTTTTAATGCAGGGTCTCACTATGTAGCTCTGCCTGGCCTGGAATTCACTACGTAGACCAGGCTGGCCTTGAACTCACAGAGATCCATCTGCCTCTGCCTCTTGAGTGCTTGGATTAAAAGAGTTTGCCAGCCGGGCGATGGTGGTGCACACTTTTAATCCTAGCACTCAAGAGGCAGAAGCAGGAGGATCTCTATGAGTTCAAGACCAGCCTGGTCTAACAAAGTCCAGGACAGGCTCCAAAGCAACAGAGAAATCCTGTCTCGGGGGTGGGGGAGGTGGGGATGGTGGGGGGTGGGGGTGGGGTTGGGGAAGCATTTGCCGTCATACCTGGCTGTTTTGTTTTGTTGATAGAGTCTCACCATATCATCCAAGCAGGCCTCAAACTCAATGGTCCTCCCGACTCAGCCTCCCGAGTCTGAGGGTATATGTGTGAGCCTCCACACCTGCCAGCAAATCATTTTGATTAGCTACATTTGCCCAAGGATCTCATCGTGGTAGCTCACACCTGAAATCTGAGTACTTCAGATGTGAAGGCAGGAGGATCAGAAACTGAAGACCACCCCTGACGCTATAGTAAGTTTAAAGCTAACCTGGGCTACTTGAGACCCTGTCTTTAAAAAAGATGGCTTAGCCGGGCGGTGGTGGTGCACACCTTTTAATCCCAGCACTTGGGAGGCAGAGGTAGGCGGATCTCTGTGAGTTCGAGACCAGCCTGGTCTACAAAGCGAGATCCAGGAAAGGCACAAAGCTACACAGAGAAACCCTGTCTCGAAAAACCAAAAAAAAAAAAAAAAAGACTTAGCAGTTAAGAATGCTTATTGCTCTTGCAGAGGACCCAGATTCAGTTTCTAGCACCCAGATGACTGCTCATGGCTGCCTATAACTCCAGTTTCAGGGTATGCAGCAAGCTCTGATCTCCATGGGCTCCTGCACTCACCTGGTGCCCATACATACACTCAGGCACACACACATATAAAATAAGTAAATATTTTAAAATGCATTTGCTCAACCAAGGAGACTGAATTTGACAACCAGTCAAGATCATTTGTTGGGGTTGGAGAGATGGCCCAGCGGTTAAGAGCATTGGCTGCATTTCCAGAGGACCTGGGTTCAATTCCCAGCACCCACATGGTAACTCACGATTGTCTGTAACTCTAGTTCCAAGGGATCTGGGACCCTCATACAGACAAATATGCAGGCAAAACACCAATGAACATAGAATAAAAATAAATAAATATTTTAAAAAATCATGTGTCACCTGACAATGGGCTCCATCTTGTTGCTAATCTCTTTGTGCTCTGAAGATTCAGACTCCTCTTAAGTTTTCTGTGCTCATGGCTACCTACCTCTCCATCGCTCCAGTCATCTCCGGCTGGCAGTGACCTTCAGATTGACCTTTCTAGACATCTTTGTCTCTCTTTCTCTTGTTTAAAGGAAGCCTCACATTTTAGAGCCTGATTTGATTTCTCTAATGCTGATGAAATAGGCTTCTCCAGCATTAAACTTAGATGCCTCCAGGGTAACAGAGCAGAGAAGGATCAGATGTGCTAAATAAGGTTCTGAGTCACTTGAAATAGTCAAAGGCATATAGAATTGCAAGCAAGGGTACTTACTCTTGGAGTAAACATAGACAGCAGAAATGAAATGCGTGGAAAAGGGACTGCAGAGCTGGCCGAGAGGTTAGAACACTTACTGCTCCTGCAGAGGACCGGTTGGGTTCTCAGCAACTGCGTGGTGACCTCCAAGGCACCAGGCAGACACCTGATACACATCCATACATGGAGGCGAAATACTCATACACATAAAATAAAATGAATAAACTTTAAAAAAATAAAAATCCACGTGGAACAGAGCAACGCATACTTCCCTTTGTCTGCAAAAGGAAGAGAACTAGACATGGATTTGTATCTGACTATATCTGCAGAAAGAAACTTTGTCTGGAAGGGCAAACAAACAGAAAAACTGAAGAACTGCTGGGCCAGCGGGTAAGAGAGCTCGCTACCAAGTCTGAAGACCGTAGCTTGGTCCCTGGGTCCCACATGGAAAGAGAGAACAACTCCTGAAAGTTGTCTTCTGACCTCCGTTTACACACCAGAGCACACAAGTGCACATCCACAAATGTACACAGAATACGATTCAATAAAATGCATAGGTTGAGCCCAATGCTACACATATGATAAAATGTATACAAATGTACAAATGCTATAATAAAATCCACTAATTTTACAACTCAATTTAATAATAAAAATTAAAATGCATAGGTTGAAAGAAGGAAAGAAACACTCCCTCAAAAAATGACATTGGGACATATTCTTTTATTAGGAAACAATGTTAAAGGCTGTGTGGTATAAACCCTATCTATCATACCACCACTCCCTTGAGACTGCCTGGTCCCTTAACGTCACTTTGGTTTTGGGGAGATGATAAAATGTAAAATGTAGCTCTTTAAAAGAGATTTCAGATTCCTCAAGAGGAATTTCTCAGCCCGAAATGGGCTGTTCAGAGAACATTTTACTTTTTAAAGCAGGTCGGAGAAGTTGCTATTCTAATCAAGAAAGAGCAAGAGATTTAAAAAAGTTGCTGATAGCCCCTAATTGATGTTAACGACAAGTAGTTGACAAAACTGATTCCTGTTAGACAAGACAGTGACGATTTTTGTGACAGTGTTTGGGTCTCTGAGTTCCGTTTTCCTGTATATTGTTTCAGAATGGTGACTGGTAAGAAGTCTTCCAGGGCTCCACCAGGAAAAGCTTGAGGGGAGGCTTTCTTTCCAGGAAGTCATTCCTGCAAGTGTTCCCTCAGCCTGGTACCATGTCAGCGCTCAGCTACTGCTCCACATGATGAGGATGGACTAATATATATTTAGATATATAGAGAGAGGGAGATATAAATATTTAGTATTATTATATATATATATATATGTGTGTGTGTGTGTGTGTGTGTGTGTGTGTGTGTGTGTGTGTGTGTTTATCCCTAAGTATTATCTCCATTTAAGGATAATATTTAATTTTAAAAATTTAATTGAAGCTGGGATATCATGGCACATGTTTATAATCCCAGCAGTTAGGCGGTGGAGGCAGGAAGATCAGGAATTCAAGGCCAACCTCAAGCTGCATAGTGGATTTAAGGCCAGCCTGGGCTATGTGAGTTTCCGTCTCAAACAAACAAACAAACAAACAAACAAGCAAACAATATACCTTTAATGCCAGCACTCCATAGGTGGAGGGAGGGAGGTGTATCTCTGTAGGTTCAGGCCAGCCTGGTCTGCATAGAGTTCCGAGACAGCAGGAAAGAGACCTTGCATAAAGAGAGCCTGTCTCAAAACAAAGCACAAAGCAAGGTGACGAGTGATTGAGGGAGATTTTCTGTACTAACCTCTGGCCTCCACATGCTTGGACACACATTTAAAAAAAAAATCTTACCTTTAATCCCAGCACTCGGGAGGCAGAGCCAGGCGGATCTCTGTGAGTTCGAGGCCAGCCTGGACTACCAAGTGAGTTCCAGGAAAGGCGCAAAGCTACACAGAGAAACCCTGTCTCGAAAAACCAAAAAAAAAAGAAAATCTTAGCATCACCAAAGAGTGAGACTTCTGAGTATATCTTTTTGTGTTTTATTTTTAAATTTTATAATTGTATGGGGGATGTTTGAGGGTATGCATGTGCACATGTGGGGGGTCAGAGGGCAACATGCAAGAGTCAGTTCTCTCCTTCTACGCTGTGGGTTCTGGGGATCCAGCTCAGGTCTCTACACTTGGCAGCAAGCACCTTTATAAGCCAAGCCACTTTATCAGCCCTTGGGCCCTTGGCGTGGTGGGATTTCCTTTGTTTGTTTAGTTGGTTTTATTGGGGTTCACTGTTGTTTTATTTTGGGGGGTTATTTTTGTTTTGTTTTGAGCCAGGATCGCTGGTAGCCTATACCTGCTGGCCTCAAACCTACTATATAGTTAAGGATGACCTTGAACCCCTGACCTTCATACCTCGACTTTCCTAGTGCTCAGATTACAGGTGTGCACAGTCACGCTTAGATTTGTTTATTTTCTTTTTGTTAATTTGTTGCTGTTTTTGTTTGTGTTAGACATCTCAATATCCTAGGCTGGCCTCAAAATCAGCTGTCTTCCGGGTCAGCACTGGAGTACTGGGAGCACAGGCATGAGTTCGACTTGGTCTTTGGGGCTAGTCTGTCTTTTTGTCTGTCAGGAATTCACCATGTAGACCAGGCTGGCCTTGAACTCACAGAAATCTGCCTGCCTCTGCTTCCGAGTGCTGGGACTTCAAAGATGTGCATGACCATGACTGGCTTCTTTGGCTGCCTTTAAAGGCTGTCGTTCTCTAACCACTGACCACAATGCACACATAATTTTGACGTAAGATATTAAGCCAAAGGATCTATGTGTCATCCCTCAACTTCACAACCCATGTGGGATAACTAGTGTAGGTGTTCGCCTTTTTTTTTTTTTTTTTTTTTTTTTTTTTGGTTTTTCGAGGCAGGGTTTCTCTGTGTAGCTTTGCGCCTTTACCTGGGACTCACTTGGTAGCCCAGGCTGGCCTCGAACTCACAGAGATCCGCCTGGCTCTGCCTCCCGAGTGCTGGGATTAAAGGCCCGGCGGTGTTCGCCTTTTGAGACCTTAGTAATTCATTCAATTAACCAGAGCCCCAGGCAATTCCCTGGGCACAAAGGATAAAATAGATTTGTGATGTTCTTCCAGCCCCTGAGTCACACAAAGCTTTTGTGTGTCCTTAAAATGAATGATTTGTCCACTTACAAATTGTATACTTGTGACTACGGTGGATGAACAGGACCTTTACTCTATATAGCTCACAAATATCATCTTTCATTGTTTTCCAACGACTAACACCCACCACAGTTTTGAGGGTTTTTTTCCTCTCCTCTCTCCTCCTCCTTCCCACCCCCAGAGCTCGGGCCACTGTCACCATGACAA